ATCACCAGAGAATCCACTCACACACTGACAATAAAATGTGCCTTCCGTATTCTGACAATTGGCCTTTGGATCACAGACGGGGGTGGAAGAACTGCATTCGTCAACATCTGCAAAGAGATTAAATAGTCAGTAGTGGAGCTCCTATTGATGTTTATTACTGTTTGTAACTAAAAAAAAAGGAAACACAGGGAGAAGTGACAAGACTCCTGTTCAATATCGATGGTGTTATTTTTCAACACCTGCGTACACTTTGTGACATCGAAACACCTTTCGTAAAAAGATGTTCAAATTTTTTGGAACAACACCATTCAAAACTTAACAACTAAGATAAGTTTTTAATGCCAAAGTAAAATGCATCTCTAAAACACTTCAGCAATAGCTAATAGTCGACAGCATACTAAAAACAATACATACTTTCATGAAACTTTAAGTTTTCTGATAATAAATTAATCACTCCTTTGGTTGAGAGGGATAACTGACAAATGACCTGATTCTGCTGGTTTGTGTTATATTTTAACCCGTTACCAGCCTTCTTATACCAGGGACGTTTCATTCAAAGCCCAGTCGCTTTGTATCCGGCTTAGTTGATTCGCACCCAGTTGGTTGAGTTGTTTTGTGCCCAAACTAATCAAGTAGATTGTTCATGTTAATATGTTAAATGATAAGAATAAACAGAAAAAAACGAATTTACAACCGTTTATAACAAAGGGAGAAAAGTCTCACTTTCGCTGGCTCTTATTTTGTTTTATTTCCACCCTCCGTCAATCTCTTTTTAATTTTATTTCCTAACAGTGTACTGGTAACTATTTGTGTCCCCTTATCTCAAGAAAGGGACCAAAAATTAAAGTGTCTATATCCAAAACATAACACACTTATAAGACTAAGGCCAAAACCTCGGCGTTCATCAAGTTATCACCCTAACTCTCAACAATATCCTTACCGGAGCAAGATTTCCCGTCACCAAAGAATCCAGTCAAACACTGACAACGATATGAGCCTTCTGTGTTCTGACAATTGGCCTTTGGATCACAGTCAAAGATGGAAGAACTGCATTCGTCAACATCT